CCTAACCCGTAAATGCATGTAACTAATGTAAATCAAGCAACCTAGTATGTAAAGGCCATGAAGTGTTGGCAAAATATTAATATTATATAAAATACAAATAATATGGATTTTATTCCTTGCACAAAACAAATTAAAGCAACCTTCAGGAAAAAAAAACTTCAGTCTACAAAACTACAGCCATGCCAAAGTGGGAAATTGGGAATAAACATGCATATATGTACAGAAGGAACAGGCAGCACTCTTCACCATAGTCCCTTTGCCTCCCTCTTCTTCTAAAGGTCAATAGGTCACATTCCTTATCCTGATTTGGGCCTCAACTATAAAGAGGCAAGCTATGCTAGTGTGTATTCCTGTAACAGGACATCTGTACCAAACATGTTACACATAATAGCTGTAGACACAGCGTTGCAAGTAGATCACCCAATCCATGAAACATCTAAGCAAAGCACCGCTGGATCTAGCTGCATAAGAGGCACTTATATGATCAAACAAAGATGATGCTCAGCAGAAGAGACAAGGACCAATATTATCTCTTCAATCCAGCCTCCAGCAACTGATGGCTGATGACATAAAAGGGCAGGAAAGGTTTGGTCTCATCACTTAAAAATCTATTTTGTGCATTTCAACAGGATTCACGAGAAAAAGAGAAGAGGTTCAGAAGTCAAAGAAATAAAGAGCAGTATGCCATTACTGTACTGTACGTTCACACCGCCGCCGACTTGAGCGTCCAAAGCGACCAGAAGTCATTTATTTTCAATGGAAGCTGGCTTTTCTCAGCTGTAAGAAGCGTCAAATCCACTGGTGTCGCGTTTTGAGCGTCAATCAAAAAGTTGAAAGTAGCTCAACTTTATGGTAATGAGCTGTGACGCAGTTCAGCGGCAAAACGCCATACGTCTATACTTGGACGAGATATTTAAGAAGTCTTTGCTAAAGATTTGTAACCCATGAACCAAACCTACCAGTTGCGAGGTGAATTACCATATTACAAATTGATTCACAGCCAAAAGGTATCTGATAATCAGGCAAAAGCACAAGATTGTGTACTTAACAGCTTTAATGAACTACAATCCCATGAAGCATTGAGAATGACAATTGAATTAAAATGGAGAACTATACAACTATTCATTTGAAGTTTTTACAGACAGACAGATATGAATATCAGATTTAACAAGAGTAGTATAACAAATAGGGCTGTCAAATGATTAATCGCATCCAAAATAAAAGTTTGTGTTTACATAATATATGTGGGTGCACTGTGTATAATTACTTTATATATATAGAAATACACACAAATGCTTGTATATATTTAAGAAATATTTATACTGTATATAGATTTATATATAATTTATATTATACATAAATATAAATATTTTATATATAAATAAAAATGCATGTGTGTGTATTTATATATATACAAAATAATTATACACAGTGCACCCACATATATTATGTAAACACAAACTTTTATTTTGGATGTGATTAATCGCGATTAATCGTTTGACAGCCCTAATAACAAATAAATGAAAAAACTAAAAATCAGTTGAATGACTGATTCAATGACTTGCTCAAAGACAGTCAGTTGTTTTTATTCCTGAAAAAAATCTGTTTTTGAACAAATCGATTGAATTAATTATTCACTCTCTTGCCATCACGTACTACACCAGATTTTGTAAAAAATCTCCAGACTGGAATAAGCAAACAGAGAAAAGTCTTAGTGCTGTTGGATTATATCAACTGGAACTACTTGTTCATACTTATGGGTTTGTTTGAATCCTTAACCATAACCAAAAAAAAAATTCGAATAGAATTTCACTGAAGGGTTTATTGCTCAAGGATATCACGGTGATCAGGGTTCCCAAAAATTCTCCACTTCATGAATCACCCATTCCTAAACCAAATTTTTAACCACTACCACCAACACCCTTCCCTGTTCTAAATCCTTGCCCAAATTCTTCACAAATGTACCATGAGTTTCTTATTAAAACATTTCAGTTACCCTCTGGGTAGCTGGCATGAGCAATAATTTGGCACAACCGATTCGAAAAGGACAACAAAGAAGTACTGACAGCTCGACAGATCATTACAGTTGCTGTCAGGAAATGATGGAGACAAATAGAGCAAAACATCTGATTATCCAATGCCATTAGCACAAATGCCTAAGCATTTCTGTTATCTAGATAACATCAGCTCTCTTCAAAGTAGAGAGTTATTGGACATGGGAGAACCTAAAGAACAAAGCCGGTGTACAAGACATGATAAAACAGGATGAGAATGAGTAATAGCTGTACTAACGCCAGTACAAGTAACTTAAGGCCCTGATATACTCATAGCGAATTTCTTTTCATTACTACTACTTAGGGATAAAGAGGAGTTCGAAACATCTGACCACACTGCTGAGAACGGCGTATAGATGAATAGATAAATATGTACTGCACGCTTTCTTCTCAATAACAAAATAGAGAATTTAAAAAAAGACAGTGGTGAGAAAACAGCAGTAAAGAAAGCATGAAGACCCTTATTCATCGTCTGGTGTCGAAACTCTCATTTGGACCTTGAACCGTTTGGTTCCCAGTTCCCACTGAAGTCCATTATATGGAGAAAATTCTTTTCGACTGAAGAAAGAAAGACATGGACATCTTGGATGACATGGGGGTGAGTAAATGATCAGCAAAAGTTTTTTTTAAAAGACTTCTATGCTATTTCCAACATACAATAACAACTTAAGCATTACTTATTTGTGTAATGTATTAAATTGATTAATGTTAGATAGGCCGCCAAAGTTCTTTCTGTTAAATTTAGCTATCTTTACTTAAAACGTGAGGAAATTTACACTAACAAATTAAGTGCAAATAGTTAATCATTTTGGTTCAGAAGATCCTACAGGTTTGTTTTTACAGTGTACCCACAAGCACTGCATTCTTTTAATGTTTGAGTTTGGGGCCAAAGGGCTGTAGGGTTGGGAGGGGTCAGGGTATGCCTGTGTGTTTTAATGGGGGTGTGAGATGCTTACAAATCAGTGCTCACACTGTGGTCAGGATACCACCACAGAAATATGCATTTCCTTCACAGGACATAATTTAAAGCATCTCTTTCAATAAAAGTTTAGTGCATATTAGTCTGCAAAACCCTGTGTTTGACATAAACCATCTGAAACAGGGCTCAGTCTCAGTTAAGTTTACACTGACTGCAGTAAATTTTAAAACCTGCATTATAGAACATGATTTTCACTTTTTTACTCTATAAATACAACAACAGTGGCTTAAATGAGAGAAATAGAACTTGACGCCAAGGCTGGAGTCTCTAAAGTCTACAAGGCAGCTTTCTGCACCTCAAGATTCGCTCTGGAATGTCAGATGACGTCATGTATTTGGGATCGGGTTTCCTCTGACTGAAAGATCCGGTCTACAACATGATCCGCAAGCTGTATTTGTGTTTTTCTAAAACACTACAAAAACAGATTTTGTGAGTCTGTTTTTTCTTTCGCAACTATTTGCATATGAACACCATCATTCCCAAAGGAAACGGGGCATAACAATGTGTCAACGCTGCAACATTTGAACACTCACTCCCCTTCCAATCAATGAAGCTGTCTAGAGAGTCTAACTCATTTCGATTCAGTTCAACTAAGTGATTCAGAGATTCTTTTACAGCGTGACATAATTGTGTCATGTGATTTCATAAAAACAACTCTGTTTTGTATGTTCGTTGATTAGACACTATCAACTCATAAACATTTCCAAATTCCAATGTATATATATATATATATATATATATATATATATATGTTTATATATGTTTATATATGTTTATATATATATATACTTCATTTTTTTATTTGATTGTCAAATGTCAATGCTTCACTGAATTCCCCTCAGTAAAACTGTAAAGAACATACAAGTGCCTACGTGTGGTTGTGCATGTGTGAGATCTCTAATAGGAAGTTTACATCCCATCAAATACTGTAACTGTACAGTCAACTCTAACGTCTAAAACAGACGGTTCTCAGTTCAATGCGTGTATTTTTTAATAAAAAACCTGAGGGACTGATAAAGTCTGATTAACGAATCGTTCAGTGCTGCCAATGATATACGATCTTTTCAAGCTAACTAACAAGCTAAGAGGAACGCAGCCCTGACTGTTTTCGTGAATAGGTTCAAATGATTCATTGAAAAGATTCGACTCAAAAGAACGCTAATTCTTCAATGCAAGTTCACACAGCTTCCCACAGAACCCTGTATGTAGACAACTTTGTTAATGCAATGATGACAATGTACGGAACTGGATTTTATGTACACAATATACAGCATACGTCATAATCATTGTAATGACGTTACAACCAGGAGTAAAAAAAAAAAAATATTACTCCCGTGACGCTTAACCAAACAACTTTTCTGGGAATTGACGTGTCACTTTCCAAATGTCTTTGGCATCTTTACCCGACTTATTCTTATATAAAAAATGTGTTTCATGTATAAGATCTAATGAAATGCGAGATGATTATATTAGGCTATACAAACATGCCCCCGAGTTGATGGGAAAAAAAAACGTTTCGTAACGAATCGGTATCGAATTCCAGAATTTTCCGAGAAAGATGCAGTGGACAGAATCACTAGCCTCTTATTCTCACTTGGACATTACGAGAGTTGTGGAAGTGATAAAGCAGTGTTAATGAGGATAATGAGTTATTACTTTTTTTTCCAGCATAAAAAACACACAAGTTTCACATAGCCTAAAACTGCAGTGGTTAAAATACGCAACATCTGTCGAAATAGACTAATGTAAAAGCGAAGTAAATCAGCTCACGCAAATGTTTATGTGTTAACAACACTAAGTTTCGTTTACATTTCGTTTCGTTTTCCATTAAATTCAAGACTTCCCTTTCCCATCAATGAGGCAACCGGCTCGCGCTTTTCTCCAACTTGAAACTTTTCTAAACAATGTCTCCGCGCGCTTTGTAAAATACATTAACGTTACTTTCAAGAAAAAACGCGTCTACTTACCTTGGATTCAGTAAATCTTGCTTATTAACACTTTAGTCCCTAAATGCCCGAAATAGAAAGAATGTCATTCCGTTGCTGCGAAGTCCACGGTGGACCAGACCAGACCAGTGTGGAATTCCGCCATGTCAATTATGTGGAAGCGCACATGGGGGTGTAGAACCGTATATTTACCGTAATACACCTAATACTCTCCACATCCATTCCAGCAGTGACCGCATCCGCAGAATTGTTTGATGATGATGATGATGCAGATAAAGGGGGTGTTAGGAGGAGAGATTGTCCTGCAAGGATAAATAATTCTCGACCAAGCCAGCGTGAAAGCAACATATAGTTTTATTAGTGTTCTTAAACTAGCTTTCTTGTGGAAATGTGACTATGAAATAGAAATAAGTTCAAGTATTTTTTAAATAAATAAATATTAATGTGTATTGTAGCCTAGCCTATAATATACATTAATATTTATTTACCATATGATTTAGGAGGCAACTTGTAACTTATATGCAACTTAATAATAATAAAATATATATATTTTTTCAAAATACAAAGCATCAACTTAGGTAAAACGCTACTGGTTTAAAAGTCATGTGCTTTAGGCCTATCCACAAACGTATTAAGTTCCTTTTTGTAGGTTCCACATCCTCAAAAATGATACACAGGATTTTGTTTAGGACTGATGGAATCTGTCTATAATTTCACATATTCCATGACTACACATGTTTTATAATAACCGTGTATTCTTAAATGTTCATCTAATATTAATTGTATTATTATAACATTCCAAACTCAGCGAATAAAAGTTTTTAAACACTTTTTATTTGCCTGATTTGTTGGTCAAATGAGGAATCCTGCGTTTGATTGGCATAATAGCGTGATTGACGTTTGCGTGATATGAGTGAACAGCTACAGTAATGCATTTTTTGGGGTTTTGTTGAAATTCTATTTAGCCAATTTAAGTTTTAAAATGTTTCCTATATATTTTTTTATTTATTTCCTATATTTCTATTGCTAGAGGTGTGGGTATTTTAATGGAGTAAACATATTAAAAAGATTAACTACAGCGCCACTTAGTGGTCATTTACATTACTGTGACCAGATCAAATCTCGTATTTAAAACAGATTTTTCACAGTCTGGGATCAATCAATTGCAGCGTAATAAACTATAAGGACATTAATAATCACTTTTGAAAAATCAGCATTATCAAGATGACTAATATTATAGTAGCCTATTTATACATAAATATGGTAGTAGTGATAGCATTTTTAATAAAAATAAGAAAAGAGTAAGCTAAAAAAAATGTATAGAGCATGTATAGTTGGGCTGACGTGACGTCTTATATACAGTACATTCCAATGTGACGTATGTAAACAAATGTTACTCAAAATGGGCTGTCACATGACTGAGTGTGAAGAATGCTTCAAAATAAAAGTTTTTGTCTGTCTTCTAGGCTAGCAGTGCAGAAAAATATCAACAAGAGATGTCAATACTTAAACTTTCGCGAAAATATCACTTAATTCGAAAAGTCACGAGCAGTAAAATTAATACTAATAAAAAAGATGGATTTAGAGTTAAAAATGCATGGGGACTTTTAAAGTAAAATTTGCTGTGATTTCAAAACCACTGCTCTCTGGGGTCAGATGAGGTATTACAACATCATACAGTCAGTCACTATGTCAACCCTGAGACCGGTATAGTTTTAAAACTTTCTTGTGTTTCTTAACCCATTAGAATGATGCGGTCTATTTTGACCGTGGCGATTTTATTGTCAATAGCAGCTGCTTATTATATTTATCTGCCTCTGCCCAGCACTATATCAGAGCCATGGAAACTCATGTTTATGGATGCAATATTGCGTGGTGTAATGCATGCGGTAAGCTTTTGCATTTGTTTCCATTATAGAATATGCATTATATGTCATTTCAATGTGGATACAGTATTTAAAGAGCTAGAGATTTAGAGAGCTATGGCACTCAATCAAACATTGTTTGATATTACATTAAAAAAGTGAAATGTTTGAATAGCACTATAACTATTTCTAATAATAACTGTGATCACAAATAAAAAATGCTACAATTTTTCTAAAAAAATAAGTGAGAAAAATATTTTTACTATATTAAATGTTTCTCAAATTTTGACTTGTTGCACTATTTTTTAAACCTCAAAATCACAACTATGTCTAATATCTTTCAATAATACAAAAAAAATGTGGGATTTGAGATCATAATCTCTAGGACCTTATCCTTATGTTCCAAATGGAACTTTCTTAAAGAGTTGGTTTGATCCTTTTAGTGTGTGTAACAATAATGCTCATTAATCCTTCTAACTTTTAGGCAATTTTTTTTTTCAAGGAGCTTAGTTAGCTCACGATCTTGGACTGAGCCGACCTTTCGATGCTGCAAAGTACGCTGCGTCATGGGATTAAATCCGATTATTTGTCGTTTAACCACATTGCTTCAATTAATTGACTATCACATCAACAGAGTTTATTTAAATCTTAACTTTTGTTTAATTGTTGGATTATTTTAATTATTGACCTCTGATATGGGAATTTCAAAAAATCACCAAACATTTTAATGTGTTTAACCTGCTTTTCATAGTTGTTTAATTTTAGTTCGATTATATTAGATCTAATAATTGTCAATAATACAAATGTGTGATTTGAGCATGTAATGCTTTTCGAAATGCAATAGTAAACTGCCATAGTCTTCCTTATGTCCCTTCTAAAGAAATGCAATTTTCTTAAAGAGATTTTCAGACCCTCATAGGGTGTTTAACAATCCTGCTCTGTAATCCTTCTAACTTTTAGTCTTGTTTCATAGAGCTTTTTTGCTCACGATCTTGGACTGAGTCGACCTTTTGATGTTGCTAAATACGCTGCATCATGGGATGTAATAAAGGGTCCACAGTCCAGCCCAGCCATCCGGGTCACTGATACTCATTTTGGAGGAGTGGAAGCCCAAGTGTTTGAGCCCACTGCATCAGACCAGGATTTGAAAAGAGGAGTGGTCTATTTCCATGGAGGCGGATGGACACTCGGCAGTGGAAGTAGGTTTAAATGCATGTGATTTCATATAAAGAAATCTGTTTCAAAATTAATGTTGTTAGCAGAAGCAGTGATAAAATTTTTTTTTTTTTTCTTTAAAAGAGATGCAAACATATTTCCTTCAGTGCAGGACCATGGCTGAAGAGTTGGATGCGGTTGTAATATCAATTGAGTAAGCAATGCACGTTGTCTACTGTGCTATTTTATTGCTACATCCTTAACTCAATTTTGTCAATTACTGGCTGTCATTTGTATAATTTGTATGTTCAGGTACAGCCTGGCTCCAGATGCACGTTTCCCAGATCAGTATAATGAAGCCATTCAGGCCTCAAAACACATCCTGACAGCTGAGGTGTTGGGCCGGTACTCTATAGACTTGAAAAGAGTGGCTGTGTCAGGTGACAGCGCGGGGGGAAACCTAGCCACCGCTGTGGTGCAACAGGTACGACAAATCCCTACAAAATAATTTTCAATATTGAGGAAAATGAATCCACAACAGTGTTATTTTATTTTAGTTTTAATAATAATTTGTAACGCGAGTTACGTGATCAGATTAATTTACTACTAAAGTACCGCACTACTTTTAATTTACAACAAAATATGAGTTGTTTATTTTTTCAAATAAGTAATGCAAGTTACTTTGTCTTCCCATTTATTGACTGACTTCTCTCCTGTCTCCATGTTGAGAGAAATCAGAAGTAAAGGTGCGCTGTGTGAACAGGATGATGTTTACTCATCTCACTTGCACAAAATTCAGTATTCCTCAAAATAAATAAAAAAAATGTAAATGCATAATATTATGCAAACATTTCTGAAATTACACAAATATTCTTTATGTTTTTAATCTCACTTTATTAAAGGGATAGTTCACCCAACAATGAAAATTGTGTCATCATTTGCTCACCCTCAAGTTGTTTCAACCCTGTATGAGTTTCTTCAAGAATGCCAATAACCAAACAGCTGATAGGCGCCACTGACTTCCATAGTATTTTCTTTCTATTATGCAAGTCAATGGTGTCCAACAACTGTTTGATTACTGACAGGTTTAGAACAACTTGAGGGTGAGTAAATGATGACAGAATTTTAATTTTGCTGTGAACTATCCCTGTTAGCAATATATTTGATGCTGACCTTCAACTCAATTACAATTTGTAATTGTAACCTTACAAAGAACTTTCTTCTCTGTCCTATTCTTTTGCAATCCAGAAAGGCAGCACTGCTGAAAGGTTTGTCTGAGCTGCGCCCTCTAGTGTACAGGCTTAAATTTACATTTCATTTAGCCGGAGGCTCATTTATTTAGCTTATGGTGTGAAAAAGACTTTAAATTTTAAGTTTTAATTCAAGGCAACATTTCTCATTTTCTCATTTACATTTTTTTCAACTACTATTTATATTTATTCTAATTAAAAGAAACATTTTTTAATAGTTTTAGTTTAAGATGATCCACCCTGATCCACAATCACATTTATTTATCTCTCTGTTCACAGATGGCTTTGGACCGTAACGTTCCTATTAAATTTAAAGTTCAGGCCCTTCTTTACCCCGTGCTTCAAGCCCTGGACTTCAACACACCTTCATACCAGCAGAACGCCCACATTCCCATCCTGCACCGTCCCATCATGGCCCGCTTTTGGCTGGAGTATCTAAACGGGGATCCAAGAGTCGTTACATCTTTGCTGGCAAACAACCACACAACTCAGGTCCGGGAGATGGCAGCGGCCAGAGCCAAGATCAACTGGACCAAGCTTCTTCCAGTGGCCTTTCAGAAGAACTATAAACCCGTGGTTCCCCTTCATGGAGACCCAGATCTGCTCGAGAAGCTTCCAGGCCTGCTGGATGTGAGAGCCGCACCTTTACTTGCTGAAAATGAAGTGCTGAAGGGCCTGCCGCCCGCCTACATCATGACCTGTGAGCACGACGTGCTGAGAGACGACGGACTCATGTACGCCACACGACTAAAAGAAGCCGGAGTCCGTGTCACCGTTGATCACTATGAAGATGGGTTCCACGGATGCCTTAGTTTCGCTTTCGGGCCCTTTCGATTTTCTGTGGGGTTTCGAAGTTTTAGGAACTACATCTGTTGGTTGAAGGAGAACCTCTAGCAGAGCTTAAGTATTATGTTGTTAAGTTAAATATATTTAGATTTTTAAACATTCTCAAATTTTTAATTTTTGAATTTAAAACGCTATGCAACATGTCAATGCAACCGATTATTTGTGAAGAATTGAATGGGAATGAAAGCGCAGTGATCAGGCCCAAAACTACTGAAATAATGTTTCAATAACAATATTCTGTTGTCTCAGTAGCAGTGGGCTTAAGCTACAGTATTACATGGATAATAATGCAACATAATGTACAATGATTATACAAATATTATAAATAATTCTGCAGAGTGTGACCAAAAAAAGACAATTTCTATGTAAATATATATATCTGTGTGTGTATATGAACATTTATAATATATATATATATATATACACACACACACACACATGTATATATATACACACACACATGTGTGTATATACACATATACATATAAATAAATACATAAAACGGTTAGTTCAAATCCTTGATTCTGATTGGTCAATAGCTGTGCTTTATTCACGATAAAACACGGCTATGACGGGTCTATTTATCACTGCGCAACACTGCGGTTCTTATGTTTTTATTTGAGCTTTCATGCATATTACACTTTGGAGCGTTGTTGCTGTTCACGGTCAGGGACTATTTTCTCCCTAGAGGAAGGAAGGCTTTTAGTGATTTTACTTCATGAAAGTTGCACTAATACATCTTATTTTTATTGTGTGGTAACCGTTTTATAAAAGTAATAAGGTACTCGAGGCAATTGCTGTATCGTGAATAAGTAACGTGCCTTCATGTCGTGCCTATAACAACGCCCTTCAGTCGTTACTTATTCACAATACAACATATATATATATATATATATATATAAGTGTGTCAAAGCAGGTCAATTCAAAATTAAGTAAAACAGGACATTTATTAAATAAGGTTTAATTTTTTGTTTTTCCAAATGCTCTATGAGCAAGATGGGAGGACAAGTTAGTTCATGCCTCTCACACTCAAGATTTGCAGTGGTGTGCATTTTTGTGTATGCGCACGCACAAGCATGCAATTGTGCTCTCTGCCCTAGTTTTGTGCAGCTGCATCTGGGCGTGAAGTCTGCACAGATGCACATCGCCATGCCTCAAGGAGTGCATCACATATCTTAATGAATAATACATTCTGAATGCATGCATTCATTTCCTTGGGGAATGAAACCAGTGGTTTTGCTGATTTTCAGTGGAATCTGTGAAACAGAAAAAAAAAAATATTTGTAAAATGGTTAAATATCAGTTCTATGAATGAATTGAAAAAAAAAATCATACATTTTATTCAAGATACCAGCATGAAAAAAATAATAATTTTAAACCATATAAACCATGTGCTTTGTCCACAAAATGATTGCAGGTTTCACATTCTCAGGCATGGCATACTGTACCTGGGACTTTGTTCGTTGTATCATTCAAAGCTTTTGAGGACAGTACACAAATGAACAGTCTTATAGCTTTTGCATTAGTACTAGATTGAATAGTAGAAAAGTAATTTCCTTATTTTTTAGGACTACTGAGAAAAGGGGCTTTTAGTTAGGGAACTTGCACTTATGAATGTGCAATTTGGCTAATACGATTAACAGATTAGTTACAAAAGCCTCCTTGTTCACATTTTTATCATACTTTAAATATACAACCACACTGTAAAAAAATATTGTTGGTTTAACTTAAAAAAAATGAAGTAACCTGGTTGCCTTAAAACTTTAAGTTCATTGAAATGGAAAAATAAAGTAATGAAGGAGATTGATTTAATCATCAGAAACTCAAATGTAATGTTTTTATGAACTACATTAATGATTTAAGTTGATTTGACAAAAGAAAAAATGTTGTGATAACAAATCATAAAAATAATTTTTTACAGTGAAAATTCAAATAAAAATGAAAGAGTATCTTTTCCTTATAAACATAGACACCTCATTCCATAACTTTTTCACGTGACTACAATGCCAGAAAATGTGGGGTTCTGTTTCCAAGTGCAAAGAGCAGCTAACATCATAGTCTTTCTTAAACTTACTAAGTAAATGTTTGACAGGGTAGAATTTGTGTATTATCTTGAAAGAAATGTCTTTCAACTTTTGTAACAAAAAAATAAAATAAAAAATAAATGATGAGGTAATAACCAAACACTTTCCCAATCAAGGTCATTCACAAATGTAGTCCAATGATCAGTAGATCAAATTTGGTGACAACCTTCTTTAAAAATAGAGAACAAATAGATTTGCTTTTGGACTGTAAAAAAAAATTACCACACACTGTACCAGTTGGATTAATTATGGACATATATCAACCGATGACAACACATCTATAAATAAGCAAATTATACTAGAATTGATTGCAGAAAACACAAGAGAAATTCCTTGGGAGTCACAGGAAAATTAAAGTGCAAAAGAAACTCGTCATATGGTTTCATTGAGTGTTAAACAAATGATAAACTAACATAATACATTTCTCAAACTGGAAAATGAAATAATATCTGATATAGTTTTGACAGTTTAATTGTCTAAATGTATAGATGAAGCACCAGGTTAGTCTAGAAATTCCTTCTGCTTTTGCCTGAAGAACTCCACCTTAGGGTCAAGTCCCTTAATAGCTAGAGGCTGTTTTTAATCTTTTCAAAGGCAGGATTAAAATTCAAAGAAACTCTATCTTGTTCATTTTTCGAGATAACAACTCCTAAATAATGAACAAAAATGCCCGGGTCGGATTTTTTTTTACCAAAAATCGCACAGACTGATGTCTGACGTATATTCGATGTGACGTCCGTAAGCAACAGGGATTTGAAAATAAAAGTCTGTCTACATGCCGAATCCAGAGAAGAAGAAACAACAATAAAATCATTAACAGAGTAAAATTCAACAAAAATAATATATAAAAAAAAACACTTCAGTGAAAGAAAAACAATAACTTAATTTCGACAAGAGGACTTTTAATCTGAAAATGTTCCTGTGATTTCATAATGTACAGTGTGAAATCAGGTGCCGTGTCATATATGACTGCATGACATTTATGCAGCGGTCATTTTAGTGCTCTTTTAACACAATTAATAATGCGGTCCATTTTGATAGGGACGATTTTACTGTCAATAGCAGCTGCTTATTATATTTATCTGCCTCTGCCCAGCACTATATCAGAGCCATGGAAACTCATGTTTATGGATGCTATGATACGTGGGACGTTCCATTTGGTAAGATTTTGCATTGAAATACAAATTCATATAAATGTTATTGCATTAACACACAAACACATAAAGAGACCTGGTGACAAAAAAAAAAAAATGTTATTTCTCTCGTAGAGTTTTGTAGCTCATGACCTTGGACTAAGTTCCCCGTTCGGTGTTGTAAAGTACCTTTCGTCTTGGGAGGATGTTAAAAGTAACAAGTCCAGACCGACCGTCCGGATCACAGAGGCTTCCTTTGGAGGAGTGGAAGCGCTAGTATTCGAGTCCACTGCTGAAGGGCAGGAGCAGCGTTTAAAAAGAGGCGTGGTCTATTTCCATGGAGGCGGATGGACACTCTGTAGCACAAGTAGGTGATAGATTGTTAATGTTAAGCTGCATATGATTACATGTAAGTCAAGCATTTTGTTGAATGCATTAGAAGTTGTAGACAGAGGGAGCGAGAAAAAGAGATTTGCTCAGCAGTCTCGAAGCACCCTCATGTGGTAGAAAAAGGAACTTCTCGTTTTTAAGACACCATGAAATCAAGTCATGCTGAGGGGATTTATGAAATCACCATGACAGTTCTTTTTTTAATGGAATATTGCTGTATTTATTATAAATTATCTATCCAAAGTTGGGGTTAGGGGTGAAAAAACAAAACATGTCACTGATAAAATAAGAAAGTGCTTTCTGGTCAGAAAAAAAAAATGAATTATGAAAGACACCAGGTTTAGTATTTCTTGGGCGTCCCATTCATTAATTACAATTGCAGCATAACATCTTTAATTGCTCTCCCTGTCTTCAAAGAGATGAAACCATATTTCCCTCAGTGCATGGCGATGGCTGAAGAGCTGGATGCAGTCGTAATATCTGTTGAGTAAGCAATGTTGTGCATCTTGTAGATCTTGCATATGGTCTTTGCTTTATTAAAGGCCTTAATTGTATATTTTGTATGTTCAGGTACAGACTGGCTCCAGATGGACGTTTCCCAGATCAGTATAATGATGTTTTTCAGGCCTCAAAACACATCCTGACAGCTGAGGTGTTGGGCCGGTACTCTATAGACTTGAAAAGAGTGGCTGTGTCAGGTGACAGCGCGGGGGGAAACCTTGCCGCTGCTGTGGCGCAACAGGTACGACAAATCCCTGAGAGTATGAGAGTAAAGTGAGGAGACACATCAGAAGCCTTCTCTTCTCATTAATTATTTTGAAAGTGTAAAATAGTGAACACTTTGGTCCTCTTGTTACCAATTGAAAACAATGGTCCTCTTGTTACCAATTGAGCATCGTTGAAACGCCACAGGCTACCTAGAGTGCCATAGTGTGTTATTAAAGGTATTCATCACAAAAGATGGGTAATAATCACATTTATTTATCTCTCTGTTCACAGATGGCTTTGGACCGTAGCGTTCCTATTAAATTTAAAGTTCAGGCCCTTGTCTACCCTGCACTTCAAGCCCTGGACTTCAACACACCTTCATACCAGCAGAACGCCCACATTCCCATCCTGCACCGTCCCACCATGGCCCGCTTTTGGCTGGAGTATCTAAACGGAGATCAGAAACTTGTTTCTGCTTTGCTGGCAAACAACCACACGGCTCTGGATCAGGGCCAGGAGATGGCAGCGGCCAGAGCCAAGATCAACTGGACCAAGCTTCTTCCAGTGGCCTTTCAGAAGAACTATAAACCCGTGGTTCCCCTTCACGGAGACCCAGAGCTGCTGGAGGAGCTTCCAGGCCTGCTGGATGTGAGAGCCGCACCTTTACTTGCTGAAAATGAAGTGCTGAAGGGCCTGCCGCCCGCCTACATCATGACCTGTGAGCACGACGTGCTGAGAGACGACGGACTCATGTACGCCACACGACTAAAAGAAGCCGGAGTCCGTGTCACCGTTGATCACTATGAAGATGGGTTCCATGGATGCCTTAGTTTCGCGATCGGGCCCTTTCCATTCTCCGTTGGAACACGAAGTCTTAGGAACTACATACATTGGCTCAAGGAGAACCTTTAAAGAAACTTACCACAGAGAGAACATTTCGGGAAAATTATGTTAAATATATTTTGATTTTAGATTAGATTTTTTTAATTTAGCATGCAGTGCAATATGAAAATGCTACAAAGATTGTATCTGTATTGGTATATGAAAAGTGTTACATACAAATTTACATACAGGGAATTTATAGTAAAATTTAATTTAATGTCCAAATGATTTATGCAACGTAAAGTTTGGGTACTTAGACTTGACTTGGACTCGGACTGCAATTAGGAATGAACTCGGACACACTCAGATGGACTTGTACTCAAACTTGACACTGACTTGAACTTTAAGTAACAATATAAAATTAAGATGACAAGACATTATTAAATCTCCCACTTAAACTAGGTTTACTTGTACTTGACTCGTAATCGACAAGGTGGACTCAGACCCAACACTAATGCAATGCTACTAAACGGGTAAAAATCATAAATTGAACACTGAAGCTTATATTATAGTTAATTTGCATAAAGATAAATACTTTAAATGTACTATATACAGTATATACCAAATAAATAATATAATTTTGGTTTGAAATTTTGACAATTAACCTTTGGACTGAAACTAGTTTTGCATATACATAAACACTTAAATTAAATGGGATTGTGTATAATAGTATAAGTAAAAAAGTTGTCAAGGGGAAAAGTAGTATTTTCACTTATCAAAAACAAAATAATAATATGTCATTTTTGTCTTGACAGAGCTTTCAGGGACAGACATAATTTTAGATGTTCATAAAAAAATGTGAATGCCATAAAATCTTTTCTCAAAGCATATCAACATGTTTACATATAACGTACGTCTGTTAAAATACAACACCACTGGGAACATGTTTCTTACTCTTCCTGGGAATTGCAACTTCTCTGGCAGTTTCTTTGCTGCTGGCAGTCAGCAGTTTTGACAAAAGGGAATTTCCTAAAAAACGGCGGTGTGGTGGTTTAATGAAACACGAGCTGGAAGGGAGTATTTAAGGGAAGATATCCGTCAGTGTTAGCTCATGGGAAACGCCGGGAGGTTCAGATAAGCACGGAGGAATGCGGCTCTCACTGTTTTTCTCACCTGTGAGACCTTTAACTATTATTGCACCTTTGGTTCTTTCCTCTAATTGAGAGTTTGGCGACACTAATCGATTTCTGTTGATGTTTTACAGACACTACCATTATTCTCAGGGCAAAATGCACAAAATAAGGATCTGAAAACTACTTTTTACATGGTTGATCTTTGTTATACACCTATATTTATCTCCTACATTACTGCCATTGTTGTTTTGTAACCATTCTGCCTGCCAGTTTAGAAACTGATACTACTATCTTCTCTCAAGTATGAGTATGTGAGTCACTGTTGTAATCATGTTTCTTTTGAAGCTGTGTATAAATATTGTTTAGGCTACACATAAACCAATGACGATGACTTGCTTTTTGACTTGTACACAAAAGAGGCCACTATTCTCCAGCACTGGCCGTTGGAAAAAAACAAAACAAATGAAAACACAATCTGTAATAGCAGCAAATTAAATGGAGAACAAATGAAGTGTCTCAAATAAAAGAACTATGCAATTTCACATTTGTCTCCTCTGAGATCTTGGTACAAACAATGCAGATTGTACCAAAAAAAAAAGATTTCAATGAACTAAAATATTCTTTGTGTTATCCACATTTTTTTAAATTAAATTAAATTTTATATAAAGTGCAGTCAAATTGATTAATGTGATCAATCGCATCTAACAAAAGTTTGGCCTATGTGTTGTGTATTTTTATGTGTGTGTGTGTGTGCGATATATATATATATATATATATATATCAATTAATCTAACAGAAAAGTTTGCTTATATCTATCTGTGTGTGTGTATATATATATATATATATACACACACACACACAGATAGATATAAGCAAACTTTTCTGTAGCTAATATATATATATATATATATATATATATATATATATATATATATTTATAATACACACATACATATTTACAAACTTTTGCAGTTAATCGTATTAATTAACAAAAGCAATTCTAAGGTCATGAGAATATTCCTATACTGAAAAACTGATAATAAAAAAAAATACACCTTGACTGCACTGGAAGTCGTATGAACATCTGGCAAAGGCATCAATATACTGAAATGAAACATAACAGAATATTACTAAGATATGCAAGAGCCACGTCTGAGCAATAAACTTTTCTGGGTGTGCCTGCTGAAATCACCAAAAGAAAAAGTGAAACCAGAAGACATTTTTTGCCCCACAATATGTTATATGTTTATTAAAGGTTTGAGGCTTTAATAAGTTTGTGCTGTTTTTGCTTCATGAGTGACTGTGACAGAACAGAGTGAATCGTGAACACATCAGGCAGAGTTAGCCTGCAGGCCGAACCGAGACGATCCTGCTGACTGGAATAACCTGTTATCGTTCGTGCTGTGACAGAGAAACTTAAAAAAGCTGAGATGTTTTTATGCGAACCTACTCAAGAGTACATGTCATGTCACATGGCCAAACTTGATCTCAAGAAGCTCGATGGCAAAGTGTGAGGCAGTTCCTGTTCTCAGCAGTTATACATAACCCGATACACGTTTTCAAACTTTGCACAAATTGCCTTCAGGAAGAGTTTTTCATGCCAACGTCTCAAATCTCTTCTAGATTACGATGTCACACTGTAATGCGAGTAGCCAATGATTAATCAGGGAAAGCTGCGTGATTATTTCAAAGGAAAACAAAACCCAAGGAGTTTACATACCTAGCGCTTGGATGTTATCTTTCACATTGTTCATTGCTTCCTCAATTTAAGGTAGTTGCTTGCACAAAGCCATGCCTCACATTTCATTGTAAAGCACTTCAACTAATTTGGCCTTTCGCTTCTACTCCATAATAATAAAATAAGGAAGTTTACAGTTTCACTCCACTGCTTAAAGTGCCCCTTTATTGCATTTTTATATTATCTTTCAGTGTTATGTAAAAGGTCTGCAACGTTTTAAAGAACAAAGTTCACAATAAAAAGCATTAAAGGGATAGTTCACTTTAAAATTAATTTTTGATATGTTTTAGCTTACCTCAAGGGCATCCAAGATGTAGCTATCCTTGTTTCCACAGTATTTTTAATTTTGATATTTTTAGGTCAAACGGTTCTTGTCTGTCAGTCATATAATGGAGGTCTATGGTCACCACCTTAAAGAGCATGCACAGAGAAGTCCAAATTAAACATGATTTAATGACTCGTAAATGTAAGTACACATCGATGACCTACGACACGAAACGAGCGGTTTGTGTGAGAAAACGAACAGTATTTATATCGGCATTGTAATCACAGTCACGTCCAAGTGATCTGAAGGCACGGGCGCTTCTGTCTGCGCAAGCGCCGGATGTCAAAGTGTTGTGAAATCAATTAAAATCGAGAAAATCACACACACACACACACACACACACACGCATATATATACCAAAAGCTGTGCTATTTCATTAAATTAATTGTAGTTTAACTCAAGGACATGAGTGCGTCCAGCATTGGCGCTTACAGTACATCACTGAGTGATCAAGTTTGTATAGGCAAGACATTTTGATGAAAACAGCAACAATTTGAGCCTGTTTCATGTAATTTTCTGATGACATGTCGGATTACGTGTTTGCACGCAGAGTCAGAGTTTAGATCATCTGTCACACCCCACCCAAGAATGACCATTTGGCTTTTAAAACTTCTTAATAGAGAAACACTGCCAAGTCTAAAAGCACAAAACACCCCTCTATGTCTCACATTTTCATCTACATAAATCAGCTGAGAAAATCTTCTCCTCCTTGGCGGTTCATGGCAGAGTTTCTCAGCGATCTCTGACCTGAAGTGCATTTCAATTTGAAAAATTAAATAAAGGCTTTGCACAACACCATTTTCAGCTAAAAACTGAAAACTTTTAATGCTTTTGGTCGTTTGTTTACAGAACAACGTTATGGGGGCCTAAAACGCAAACTTTTGAAAGTGCAACTTTTTGAAAACGATAATGTTATCGTCTCCTTGTAAACTACAAAAACGGGAATATGTGAAAACAGTGACGTCATGTGCATTACGTGTTCAAGTCTATAGGTGCATCTCTTTACAAAGTGATATCGTCAACTACTGGCCTGGCATGAATCATAATGGGAATCTGTATGCTAAAAATAAAAATGTGAAGTGAAACTTTTCTGTTTTGTCATCCAATATGTCTTTCTTTCTTCATTCGAAAAGACATTAAGGTTTTTGATGTAAACATTCCAGGATTTTCTCCATATAATGCACTTCAATGGGAACCAAACAGTTCAAGGTCAAACTGAGTTTCAGTGCAGCTTCACAGGGCTTTAAACGACGCCAGACGATGAATAAGGGTCTAATCTAGCGAAACAATCGACCATTTTAAAAAAAATAAAAAAGTTTAAGTTTTATAAGCACAAATGCTCGCCTTGCTCTGTTCTGTGATGAGCGTTCGTGACTCTCCTGTTCATCAAAATGAACAAATCTTTTTTCGAGTCATGACTCGAAGGGTCCTAGATAAGACCCTTATTCATCGTCTGGTGTTGTTTAAAGCCTTTTGAAGCGGCACTGAAACTCTCATTTGGACCTTGAACCGTTTGGTTCCCAATGAAGTCCATTATATGGAGAAAATCCTGGAATGTTTTCATCAAAAACCTTCATTTCTTTTCAACTGAAGAAAAAAAGACGTGGACATCTTGGATGACATGGGGGTGAGTAAATTATAAGCAAAAGTCTTTTTAAAAGTGAACGACTCCTATGGATGGAGAGAGGGTTGCCTGTCCAACCCCTCAGGACAATCCTCCCACATGGCAAAGTGGCAATTAACATATAGCATTTTTCACCCCGGAGAGAAAACTGGGAATCTCCCTGTCTCCCTTCCCTCTTACTCAGGAGTGATGTCACAGAGAAGCACAATACGCCCTTGTATCCTGGCCTATAAGTCTCTTGGCACTTTGATTGCATGGCTTAGGCATGTCAGGGCGTAATATTAGCCCCGAATGACGTTATAGCCCCCACAAACTATTTTACTCTTTCAACCCTTCTTCATTTCCTCCAGCTCTGTTTTCCATTTTTGAGCATTTGACACTAACAGCAATTTTTTTTTTCAGATGATAAAGTGGGGCCCCCCAAAATTGGGGGCCTTTTCTCTAGCCAAATTCCTGATTCCCCAAGTGCAATGGAGCATTGAATCAAGGCCCCGTAACTCTCCGTGAACCCCCTCCATGTTCTTCGCAACGGATATGATCACACATTCATCAGCGGCCTGTCAAGTCTTTACAGCCCCAGCGGCTTCGTTTTAAAAACCCCTGAGGATGGAAAACCAACCCTAAGGTCCTTTTGTTAGGTCTCACTTTAGCTAGCTATCAGTTTGGAAAAGTACATAGCCACACAATGATATCCCAGTTCAGCTCAATGTAACTGCGATGAACCTTAGGCTGATATGAAACAGTCCTGAGGGTTTTCATGGAGAATTACAGTCAAAAGTTTAAACAGTGATTTCCCATGCAAATTCACTACCACTATGATAGGCTGTTGTGTGAATTGGTTTTTGCTAGACCAACTCTAGTTTGTTGCTTACAAATCCCACCCCAAGTCTTATTAATATTTGCTCCCTAGTCTGGGATTTGTTTCTCCTGATGAAAACTGCAAGTGTGATAGTTTACAGTTAGAGAAAGAGCGTTCCTGTGTGTTCAGGGGTTTCTTTAACATTTAGCTCCAAGAAAAAGGGAGTCAGTGGGGGAGGATTTTCTCTCTGGTGCAGGACATCGGTCAATCATGGCGCCAGACTACAGTCATGTTTCATGGGCAGAAGACTCTCCCTCCACTAACTCCCACACCAACACCACCCACACACACACACTCATAAAAGACATCCTCAGATCATTCTGCTTATGTATAAATGTGGCAGGGTCACCATAAGGGATGAGTTTGTCACTCTTTGGCTGCAGCTTTTCCTGGCGTCAGCTAAAACAAACCCAGCCAAATCTACACTTTGCATTCGCTTCTGCTGGAAAATCCCAAGTTTCCGGCCCGTCCACTGGTCGCCTGCCGCTCTGTTTCTTTTTTCTCCTTTTCTTTGTGTTCCTCCTCCTCCCTTCCACAATGTCTGTGCCAGATATGCTCAGATCCACAGTGCCGCTTGCATTGTTTAGGTTGCCTGCGATTCAGAGCGAGACATGTCAACACCGTGGCCTTCAGAGACCAGTCGAACACAGCTGGCTGACAGAGATAGAGCGAAAGAATCAGCGAAAGAGAATGGGTGTGGAAACAAAAAGAAATATTTGAATTAAGAACAAGGTTCATGCCAATTGTTCTACATGGAAGGAGTTGTTATTGAGATGCTTAAAGGAGTAGTTCACTTTTAAAAAAAACTTTTGCTGATAATTTACTCACCCATATGTCATCCAAGATGTCCATGTCTTTCTTTCTTAAGTCAAAAAGAAATTAAGGATTTCAGGATTTTTCTCCATATAATGGACTTCAATGGGAACCAAACGGTTCAAGGTCCAAAAGACAGTTTCAGTGCAAACTGCAAACTGTTCAAAGGGCTTTAAATGATTCCAGACGATGAATAAGGGTCTTATCAAGCGAAACGATCGCTCATTTGAAAAAAAAGTTTGAGTTTTATAAGCTCAAATGGTCGCCTTGCTCTGTTCCGTGATGAGCGTTCGTGACTCTCCTGTTCATCAAAATGAACAAATCTTTTCCAGAGTCAACTCGTTCATTTTGTCGTTGAATGAACCAAATGACACGAAAAAAGATTCGTTCGTTTTGATACACAAGTTAGAACAGGAGAGTCACGAACGCGCATCACAGAACAGAGCAAGGCGACCATTTGAGCTTATAAAACTTAAACTTTTTTATTTGCTAAATGAGTGTTCGTTTCGCTTGATAAGACTGAAATCGTCTGAAATCGTTTAAAGCCCTTTGAACAGTTTGCAGTTTGCACTGAAACTGTCTTTTGGACCTTGGTTCCCATTGAAGTCCATTATATGGAGAAAAATCCTGGAATGTTTTTATCAAAAACCTTAATTTCTTTTCGACTGAAGAAAGAATGACAAGGACATCTTGGATGACATGGGGGTGAGTAAATTATCAGCAAAAGTCTTTTTTAAAAGTGAACTACACCTTTAATCTCTAGCTTTGACTCTGTCTGGAGCTGAAAAATCCCCACAACAAGTATTGTTTGACTGTGTCTTCACAATAAACCTATTAAAGAGCACCATTGATCCTTTGTAAAGAAGCACGCCCTCCATTTTCTGCTGAGCTTTACTTTTTTAGGAGGAGGTTACAGTCATTGTCCCAGACGATCACTGAAGCCTGTTTGGTCACCTCCGTTCATCTGCTGTTGATTATAGAAGCTGATCTAATCTCAGCGTGACACATCTGGCACAAACAAGTCCAAGAAAAAAGCAATATTGGGTAACTTTGCTGACGCTCGCGGAGCGGGATGGAGCTTCAAAAGGCTCCTATCCGGCTCTGTTATGAACTCGCATCGGGAGTCGTTTTAAAAGCATCTATAAATGGTAATGTGAGCGAACATGCAAGCACCTCCAGGTTAACAAGTAAATACACTTTCGCTGGAAACAGTAGCACCTTTAAAAAGTGTTACTCGTTATTTATTGTGTCTTTAAACTTAATGATTATACTTGTGGACGGCACAAAAGCAGCACTGTTTTGAGTTTGTTCATGTACTTTGGAAAATTGTTTCGTTGGCTTGGGGACCTGGAATGTCATGAGCAAATATCTTTAAGAGTTAGACATGGTTGGACAACAGGAAGAAAACATCGATTTTACTTTTTGGATGCTGAAGTTTAGAATTGCCTTTGTTTTAAAGGGGCCCACCAAAACCTGTCAACTGAAGCTGAGTAACAGAATAGCTCTTTAAATCAGATGGCAAGAAGTGGCCGGCCTTTGAGAAGCACAATACATGGAATACCCCCTAGACTTTCTAAATAGGACCAGATTGTAACCACATGTTAGAAATCAAATACAGTCAGAATTGGTCATGTTTTCTTGAACAAGAACAGGGCAAAGCTACAATAGAATCATGAACATGAATCTGAACGAAAATAAACATGTTTTTAAAATGAAAATACATCGGTTTATTAAAACAAAACAACAACTTAATTGAAATCCTGTTGGAAAATCCAGTTTAAACTGGTTTCTATCTTTTGGAACTTAGCCTGTTTCTAGCTTTTCCAACCTCGTCATTATTAGCCAATGCAAGTTGCACATTAGTTCAAGTTCTAGTTCAAGATGTTCTTCAAATTTAGACGAACTAATAGCCGACTTGGAGCAGCCAGTGATGATCAACTCATGGCTGCCGCAGACTGTGCGATTTCAGCAATATAAGATCCTTACAAATCACACTCGACGACATATACTTGGGTACGACGTGTATGTAGACTGTACGATGACGACACTTATTGAATCGTTGGATACGACACAAGTTAATATAGAAGAATAAAAGGTCATCGGCATGTGCTAGTGGTCAACGTAGAGCGGGATGAATTGCACTTTGGTAATTGTGGTTTTTATGTGCGCTGAAAAAAAAAGGAGGAAGCTAAAGAGATAAATATGGATGTGGTCATGCATGGCTAGGGAAACGAAACCAACTTGGCACGCCAGTTTATGTAAATGGAGTTTTAGCGCCATTTCGCATTGATCAATATGCTATTTCGGCGCATGCACGAGAACTGAACAAGAAGTAGTAGAAAAATAGCGTAGTTCTCTTCTCGCGCATGCATCGTGGAAATCTCTTGAACTCTTGTCTAAGGCCCAGAAGGAAGAAAAGGAATAGTCGAATAAAGTCGTTATTTTTGTTGTTGTTTTTTCGCACAAAAAGTATTCTCGTCACTTGATAAACTTATAGTTGAGCCACTGTAGTCACATGATATATTTAAACATTTTCTTCGATGACTTTCTGGGCCGACAAGTTTCAATCCCTTAGGAGCCTATGTATGTGGTAGTGATCCAGCTCTCAAATTTAATAAAAGATATCTTCATTTGTGTTCCGAAGATAAACAAAGGTCTTATGGGGTTGGTATAGCATGGGGGTGAGTAATTAATGACTTAATTTTCATTAAAACTAAGTCTAACCCTTTAAGATCTTCATTTGTGTTTCATGGAAGAAGCCCCTATAGGGTTTGGAAAAACCTGAGGGAGTAAATTTTGACAGAATTTATTTTTTTAGTGCAGTGTTCCTTTAAACTGAATTTTCCAGAAGGGCAATCACGGTTATAGGATCAATTTAGACACATTTTATGCTTGATACGTTTCAGCAGGAATTATATCATAAAGTGATTGCACTGATCGGAAAAGCAAAAACGAAAGAGGTTCTTACATGCATTATCTTTACTGGAAAGTAACTCCTGCACTTCGTTTCCTTGAGTCAAGCGCTGCTCCGCCTCCATGCCTTTTCATATGAAGAGAGAAGGAATTCTGCCTCAGCTTTTGTCTCGAGCTGCAGGAACACACGCAATGGTCAGCATGACAAGCTCACACACCATGCAGTATATCGGACTTCTTCTGCTGGCTGCAATTCTCCTGCAAACAATAGCAGTGGCTGTAACTTTCATATACTTCAGCAACGTCTTATCGACGGTAAGAGCCATGTACCTTCTGCGTTTTCTTGCACGTTAAGTTACCTCAGAACTGTGCAAAGTTTGTCTGGCCGCCTTGTTGTGCATGTTGCGACTTTGAACTGCAGCAAATAGAAGACTTTAGAGAGAACGAATGCTGTTTGCAGCCGTTCTCGGTTCGTTTGCTGAGGTTTCTGCCTGCATTTTGTTTAGTGGACAGCTGCCAACAGGTCGCTCAGTGGAGCCTGAAGTACAAGTTAAGCCTAGTTCACACTACGTGATTTTAAGCCCGATTTAAGCCCGATTTGCAAATCGTTGAGTCGCCGACAAGTCAGGGTGTTATCGCGTGCAAATCGCGGGCGATTAGCGGACGATTAACGCTCGCCAATCAGTTAGTGTGAAAGAGCCAACAACGCATCAAAGACAGCTCGCAGACACCTCGCAGACAGGTCACCGAGCTCAGAAAAATATCTAGCATGCTAGATATCTCGCGCAGTCGCGCGACTCAATCTCAGTGATGTCATGAGTACAGCCAATCATAGCAACGCATGGGTTGAGGACACCAGGTAAATCTTACTTTTTCTTTTTTGCATTTTTTTTTCTCAGAGCAGATCGTCGAGCAAACAGTGTGCAGCACTAGTTTCTGTCTGACGTCCATATTCGCGTGTTGTGTTCTTCTCTGCAGTTTCGCGTCATTTCTGGTTCGTTTTATTGCGTGGTTTTTCGTTACAAAACATGGTTTAGACCAAATAGAATCGTGTTGTTGTCAACTCGTTATTTGTTTGATTATTTTCAGGATTTAGACCGTATTATAGTACTGAAACAGCTCTCATTGAGTCACAAATGATATGCTCTTATCATCCGATCGTGGTTGTATCTCTATGTAGTGCGTTGTTAACTCGTGTAGTGAGTTACCTCCTGTTGTGGATCAATCACGTTGTGTTGTGTGGTGTGAACAGCTAAACAACTTGAACACTCATGATTTCACTGAGAGCAAGTCATGTAGTGTGAACTGCACAGTTCAGCCCGACATTTTAAAATCATGTAGTGTGAACTAGGCATTAAGCAACAGCAGACGACACTCAGTGGCGATGTAGACTACAGTTTTTCATTTAAAAGTCTATTTGAGTGGAAAGGTTTGCATTTTATGCTTAAAACATATAACTTTTAATAATTAGTATTGTATAATAAATAAAAATAAGCACAGCTATTCATGGACACTCAAATATTTTCATGATTTAACACAACATTTTTTCTTTTGTCAAATTAACTTAGATAATTCATGTTGTTCAGATTACATAATATTTTGAGTTTCTGATGATTAAACTGTTGATGTGCTTCATTTTATTAACTCGAGGTTTGCGCTAATTTTTTTAAGTTAAACCAACAATATATGTATATGTGCACTAGAAAGTATAATATAATTTCATGAAATTGTTATTTTATAGAATGGAGATGAAATAAATAGTAGAAATGGCTTCATTTAGCGTTTCATGTATGCAAAATATTTTGTCTTTTTTAAATATTAGATCTTATTTTTTATAATTTGTATACAATGATATGATTGAATATATATATATATATATATATATATATATATATATATATATATATATATATTCAATCATATTGCCTATCTAATATTAGTTATTTCTTTGTATGCCGAAAATATTTGCTATTTATGGATGCAAAATTATCAATTTATGTAAATAAAGATAAGCAAATATAATTTGTATAATAAGATCATTAAAATCACATTAAAGTATTAGCTATTTTATAAAATTAGTATTTTGCCTGATTCAAATAAAAACAACTAGGTTGCATATAATATCACATGTTTGCATTTTATTTATGCAAAACAATCTTTCATATTTCATGCACATTCTAAATGTTTAATTGGGATATGAGCAGCTTTTGTAATTGGTCACCATGCTGAATATTTAGCTGTTGAAATCTAAGGTATTAAAACATTTTTTTTTTATTCACAGATGAAAGAAACCTTTTCCAAGAGCAGCGTGTCGTGTCTGATGCGCGCCAACCTCAGGACGATAAAGGGTCAGGAACTGACCGCGGCGGAGGGGAAAGACGACCCCTGCTGGCAGGTCACGCAACAGCTACACTTTCTGATTGAAAAGGTATCCGCTTCAGAGGAGGCCTATGCAGTCATAAAGCTGTAGAGTGTAGACAATGAGTCCATTTATGACTCGGATCGTTTTCCCTTTTTTAATTAATAAAGGAATTTCCTTAATTTTTGTAAAATGAAACCCAATTTTCAGAGGTTATGCTGAAGAATTGGTCCATTCACAACTCTCTTTCTGAAACTAGAAATGTAATCTTTGTTTTTCCCAAAGTAATTATTATTTTTCTCTCTCTTTGTTTTTTTTAACAGTCAATGTCCAGCCGTTATCAGAAAGAAATCTCATCCGCCGTCAAAGGTATTTCAGAGCACACTCAGATTAAGTTTATGTGAAGGCATAAGCTACGAGTGAATTAACCGTTGGGATTTTTTTTTACAGATGAGGTCTCGCGTGTACTTCCCTCATTGGTGATCCAAGATCAAGACGATCCTCCTCGGCCTAAGATCGCTGCGCATGTGACTGGAAGCTATACACCAGAAGCAGATAAAGATGGAGGAGGTATGTCTTGTTCTAGCAAACACTTGATTTAGGTTTGTCTCTTTGCTAAGCAACTCTTTTCAGTTTCTGTACATGTGCTGAATTATTACAACGACTGCAACTGTTTAAAGCATGTTTATCTCTGGGTCATAGTCCACATTCACCTTAAAAGTACATTGAGACTGACTGGATGACATCCAGATCTGATAGAATGCAAACATTTCACGAACAATGTTGCATCCCTGCAAATAAACACTCTTTTCATGATAGCTTCCCAATAAGGAAGCTCATTAAACCTTTAATGTAGGTCAGAGCTCACTTCTTTGTTTCATCATATCTCTGTGGCCATTTGCCTGAAACAAAAAGCTGGTTTATAACTTGAGCCGAGTATTTGAAACAAGCTCCCCGTTCCATTCGCCTGCCAAACGCCGAAACAATGCAGCTTTTCTGTCAAACCCCGACCCATAATCCTTCTCTCTGGCTTGACAATGCAGGTCTACCGAACAGGAAGGTTTACGGCCAGAAGATCCAGTCGTGGGAGTCCGAAAAAGGTCTGGCTTTCCTCCAGAACGTTGAGTTGAGTGACGGAGAATTGGTGGTGCCTCAGGCCGGCCTCTATTACATCTACTCCCAAACGTACTTCAGACACTCGCTCATCGAGGCGGAGCAAAGCGACCGCGAGGAAGAGGACGGCACGTCGGGCGAATCGGTCCGGGGGAAACCGATGTTGCAGTACGTTTATAAAAAAGTCAGCTCGTATCCGGTGCCCATACTGCTGATGAAAAACGCCCGGACGACGTGCTGGTCACGTGACACCGAATACGGCCTGTATTCCATCTACCAAGCGGGGCTTTTTCAGCTCGGAGGAGGAGACAGGGTGTTTGTGACGGTCAGCAACGTGAGCACCATCGACATGGACGAGAAGTCCAGCTTCTTCGGAGCGTTTTTGGTCAGCTAGTGATACACAGCCTGAAAAATTAGTTTTGAACTCCCAGATGAGCGACAGGACTCGGCTTGCTCGGTATTTCTACCTGAGGTTTTTTTGAACGGATGCCAAGTGCCTTCAAGCATTTGGACGCTCTTGCCGAGATGCTCCGTCTCTTGCCAAAACAGTTAACAATGATTGATGAGAGCATGGAAAGGTGCAAATATTTGGCGCTTTTTTAACATTCGGTCAGCGGATCTGATCGTAAATCAGTTCATTGGTGAAATGTGTTGGAGCTCTATCCCAGCACGCCTGCCTGGAGGGGCGACGGAAAGCGTGGAGCTTGCCAGGTCGTTTTGGAAGCGAGTCGTTTGGACGGGCAGGAAAAAAAAGAAGGTGCGACTTTAAGCGTACTTTTTGCGCCTGCGGAGGAGCTGCAGGCTTATACTGTGTGCTTCCGTCCTCCTTGGACATGTGACTGCATTGCCTTTTTCAAATGTTTAAAAGACTAACTGCATATTGGGATGTGGAAATGCGGTCGGAGAGACTTGCACAATCTTTGTGTTTAACAAATCATGCCTTGATTGTATTATTGACATGTTGTGATTGTCAGTTTCAGCACTATTAATGTGTTTGTATGAGTTTGCGAGTGAAGGAGTTGTTTTTATTACATAATTCTTTCCTAAAGCATTAACCTTAGATTTGCTAAATGTGAAAATCACTGTGATGGTAAATTGTCTTGTACATATTGTCTTTTATATATACATTTACCAGCACTGATCATACACTGTGGAATGTACAGACACCTGAGAAGTCTTTTCACCCTTCTGCATTTTAGCATGTTCTTTTCAGTGTTTCGGTTTTACTATTTTTGTAACATTTAATCTGAAACAGACTGTCGGTTAAACAGTAACTATGTACGTTACAGTACACTGTGTTCTCCCCTTTGGGATGTTTTGTCTTATCCAGGCCATAATCTTCATATTAAATATGCACAGTATACATAAAAAAAACAATCATTGGATGATTCATTTTATTATATATATATATATATATATATATTATTAATTTCAAGACCATTCAACTGTATTACTTCAATTTTGTAAGTTTGGGGTGAAATACAAAAATGTATTTTATGTGTGTATGTGTGTGTATATATATATATATATATATACACACACACACACACGTTGCAAAATATTGGTATAAAACAGTACATATTGTCATTATATAAGGTGATTATTGTTATGTTATATCTCAAATATTTGCCACTTTCCACTGGAGCTATCAAGTTTTCTTCGGC